CCACATGGTCCTGAAGCTGTCTTTTCTGGCCATTTTATTTACTACCACAGACTCTCCATCAAAGAACATATGGGCAAGAATCACATGGAACAAAATGATAAGCAAGTATGAATGAGTCCCTTTCTATATATAGCATTTGACATGTGGACAACAGTTGCTGGTTAATTGGGGAGCCAGTCAGCGAAGGCCAGATGCGCTGGCTCCTGTAGGATTTACCAAGGATCTTGAATGACTAAGTTGGCCAAAAGGCACTAGACACAATGTAGATGAACTTTTCGAAAGGAATACAGGCAGAGAAGCAAATTTAAGCCAAAAGCATTCCTGAAAAATTGACGTCCTTTTAAGTAGTTCTACCCTTTTGGTACTAATGTTTTACCTTAGTTTTTTCTCATTATTTTTTCTTAATGATATTTTCATATATGAAATTACAAAGCATCTCAGTCGTAAACTGTTGATTTAAAGAACGTGGCAATAACGTATCTTTAAATATTACTGCTTGAAAATGAAAACATTAATTATTAAGAATCTCAGACTTACATGTAGTAAATAAAATATTGCTAAGTATCCTAAATATTTGGTAGTCTTTCATTTTGCTTAGCTTAGGTCTAAGTGCACAAACTCCACTAAGTGGATAAAAAGAAAAAGAAAATATCTCCACAGATATAGTTTTAAAATGTTAAAACTTTTTTTTTCTCTACCTAAGTGAACCCATGGCTGTCTTCATGATATCCTATATTGAAATACCTGAACAAGCTAGCTTATCACTCTTAATTTTCTTTCATAGTTCTCCAGCAATAATGTCATTGTGCTTGGACCCACTCAAGACTTCAATGTCAATATTTTTCTTTTATAAAATCTTCTCTATATCTCACAGTGTTTGTCATTTCTATACTATAAGACAGGCAGCTCCATGCATTGAGATAACTCTCAGTTACTACCAAATACTCATTATCAGGTCTCAGATCTCTAGTCACCTGAGAAATGACCTGACATCACTGTGGTCAAATATCAAGAAGAAAATATTATAGAGTGAATTCTTAGGCAACAACAGTGAGTTTCTTGGCATCTTAGAAATGGTAAAGCTTTCTATAAAATATTTGGATTTACATTGCCACTTTCAGTGCTGCAAAGCTTGGTTAGCAGAAAATAAAAACCAGGTTTTCTATCACTTTAGCTAAACTTAGCTCCCCCTTCTTCTCCCTGAGCCTCTGTTGCCTGAAGACCAAACCGAAGTCCCAGACATACCTACTCAGATGCCATACCTCTGATCTTACGTATCCCAGACCTTTAAGAAGTTACTACATATCTTAGTAAGCCAGATACTTAGAATGCTAGTTCTTTATAGGTTGAGTGTTAGGCCATAACTCTAAAATCCTCCATGGATGACAATTTGTCCTCATTTTGGGTGTGATACACAGCAAGGGAGGCATATTTTTTTCTTTCTAGAGAGATAGGAAGTATAGAGGAGTAAACGGTCTCCTTCATAGGTGCTCTGGTTGTTCACTTTGTCTAGGCACACACAGCATCAATGCGCAGAGCTGCCTCAGATGCTAATGAGAAGATGCGCCAGTCCCATAACATCCATCGAATCCCAGCAGACTCACTCCAGAGCTTTCAATGTTTGGAATGAGGCTGTTATTACAGAACTTTAATGTTGTCATGCTGTTATTTATGGTCAAGCTCTCTCTCTCCTTCCTTCCTTCCTTCCTTTCTTCTTTCTTTCTTTCTTTCTTTCTTTCTTTCTTTCTTTCCTTGATACAAAAGACAACACCATATTGATTTAAGCTCTTAACCATTCACCTTATCTGTACAGGTTGGCAAGTAATCTCTGTACAGTAGAACAAAATCACCTACTGATGCATAGAATGTCCCACCTGGTTAAAAATTGACATATAATTACTTTAGAAACTGCTAGCTTTTGTGGAGTTTTTTTGCAGTAAATTGATAGCAAATTGTCTAAAGTAGTAAATTATGAATTTTGAAAGCATTACAGAGAGATCCAAGTTCATCTCCCAACTCGTAGGATTTTCTCCACCTAGTAACATCTTGTTAGGATAATCAAACCGATAGTATGTTCTCTTCACTATTTTGCGTATTTTTCAAAAGCCCATTCTTGTGTTAGATTAAAAATAGCATTATAAAAATCTACGGTTGCTCTCAAGAAATGTCTAATCGGGGACAGGTTAGGAGGAGGGAGTAATAATCTCCAAATTCCAACAATTTTCTTTCATTCTTTGCTGACAGTATCAGCTTGCTTTCCACCATGTTATTGTCTCTGTGAGGCCTTTCGGAGACCTAAGATTAAAGAAACGGAGTTATGTGGTTGGAGACGAAACTGGTCGCAGAGGTATTTGAGGCACTGAGTTTGGGCAATGTAAACATCAGCCAGTGTAAACAGTCTAGACTTGGGCTCTGTATCAGAAAGAAGAACCATGTGCACTGTATACCTCGCAAAACACAATGTGGTTCACCGAAAGCATTTGGGAGGTAATTAGGAGGAGGAAACAGCTGAATGAACATGTAGTGAGATTTAAAAAAAATACGGACTTCTCTAAAGCAGAATATTCACGGCACCAGGTCGATTTGAAGTTATAGAATGAAATTGTTGAATTAGCAACTGGAAATCATAGGAGAAGGAATTTCTAACAATAGTCAAACAGATTTCAAGGTCAGACATCAAAGTTTACAGACATAAGTATTTCTAGACTAAGGGTTTATAAGTAGACTATTTTCATTGTTGGCAGTTTGAAATGTCAGCCCTCTTGAGTTTGTTACCCAATACTTGTCACTCTTACAGGCACATTTCCATATTTATAGGTACCATTGCCCTCTGCTTCATGCTCCAGTTATCCATGATGCTCTTATAGCAAGTCCTGGAGAGTACTCATCCTGGCAATGATGGACTCTTGCTAATCTGGGCATTAGCAAATCAGTCATGTAACTAGAACACAGCCAGAAACCATCCAATGGGAAGATGAAATTCCTTCACCATTATATGACTCAGTCGTTCCCTGGTATGGAAATACTGGCACAATCTGAATCAAAATCAGAAATAGATATATTGACATCAAGACATTCATCAGATTTCGCCACAGCTGTGGGCGTTTCTTTCCACTTTATGCTGCAGATGTAGCTTTCTCCCTTCATGGCACAGACGTTGAGATTGAGAAGAAAATCCCAGACAGTGGGAATGGAAGGGAATACTAACCTAGAATCACTCAAAGAGGTTGGAGGTGTTGGGCTGTTGGCACTGAGAACTCACTAAGGGTGAATCCCGTACAAGCTTCCACGTTGCGTTGGTTAGTGGCACAATTCTGGACCTAACTTATCTTAAAAACATTTTATGTCGCCACCTCCTTGGCTCTGTTGGTGTTTCTGAAACTGGACAACAGATGGAAGTAAGCAGGAAGAGTTTTAAGATGGCCCTTGGGCTTTACTTTGCAATGTTTGTAACTTTTTAAAGGAGGCAAAGTATGCAAACTCTTAAGACTGAAACACGTTTTAAACTATCCTGTCACCAACTGCAAGCTCAAAAAAAAAAAAAAAAAAAAAAAAACCAACCCAGAAACATTGAAGCAATTTGTCTTCGTTATTGGTAAAATTGATTAAAAAATTTAAATACCACTTTGATAGGGTTGGCTTATATATACGTCAAATTAACATTAATTAAAACTAACACAATATGAGTTTTTACAATGATAAGAATAAGTCAAAGGTAAATAATTCTGTGGTTAATTCCAAAAAGAAAAGACAGCCTCAAGGAAAAATAAAGCCACTGACTATAGTTTTAGTGAGATGAAACACAGATCCATTCCTGTTATTTTCTAAGGTACATCTCCACTCTAGTTATTTTTCCTCTTGACAACATAAAAACATTATAAAAAAGAATGAGGCATCACCAATTTCTGGTGACTGATGGCATGAAACTTCAGGATGACTGTAGTTACTGGTCCATAATTATTTTGGAGTTATTGATCCATAAACATATATTCATTGCTGTAACTGCTTCGACGTAGGGGTGAGTGTGGTTAAGAGGGAAAAATACAACTTAAAATTTCTAGTTGCTTTGAAATGAAGCAAAACTCACAATCAACAATCACTCTTTATTTTCTACCACCAACAATTTTTTTTTTATTTAGAAATGTTAAGACTAAATCTTAAGTTTTCTTGACTACATTTCTAAGGTATATTCAATAAATATGATTTGTTTTTTCTTGTGACTCCTTATAAGAATTTGATAGAAAAATAGAACTAAAATGTGACCTTGGGCACCATGAGAAGTGGTGCTAAAAGTCCAAATCATTTGAATTGGAGCCTCAGAGGTATTTCCAGTCTCAGCTGGTAATGCCAGCTTCTAATCTGCCTCAGTGAAATTTGGCTAAGTGACTTTCTCAGACTTTTCTCAAGGATCCATTTAATTTTACCTATTCCACTGCCATATTTACATGTTTCATTTTTCTCCAGGGAATGTCTCTTATACTTTTTCATCCATGGTCCTATTCTTGTCTTTCTGTCATTTGTGAAAAATATAAAAACGGCATTATTACACAATTTCCTACGGTAAGTCTAATGTTCACCCACTCACAACCTTACCAGTGCAGCTTACTGGGTAAATATAGTCTTATTAATAAGCCACATGGAATTCTTTGTTAGGTGTCCATTTTTAGGAATATGTCTTCCCCAGTGCAAATATAGAAGTATGAATCAGACTCCATATAAGTAGCAGCGAACAAAAATCATCTTTTTATATTCTTTTTCTAGTTAGCCTAGCACTTTCTCCAGGCTGATAGTAATATGTGCTTAGTTTTAAAGCTCATCGATACTTCTTCTCATATACACAACTTCTTTACAAAAGGCCGGGCGGTGGTGGCGCACGCCTTTAATCCCAGCACTCGGGAGGCAGAGGCAGGCGGATCTCTGTGAGTTCGAGACCAGCCTGGTCTACAAGAGCTAGTTCCAGGACAGGCTCCAAAGCCACAGAGAAACCCTGTCTCGAAAAACCAAAAAAAAAAAAAAAAAAAAAAAAAAAAAAAAAAAAAAAGCAATCATTCATGATGGTGAGACCACCTTAGGAAATTTTTCACTTTTGTTTGGAAGGGACTCGGGTGGACAGTACGGCTCTTTAAATACTAGTGATTATTCTGGGTTATTAAAATAGATTGGGGCAGGAAGAGAAAGACATGCCATTGCTCATGGTCTACTCAACAACAACTTTGTGGTCTGCATTACTTCAGGATGTACTACTTGGGCACACTCTTCATCACAGGTTCCTAGCAGTGTCCCTAGCAGGCACATTTCTTTTCCGATGGCTTCTCTCCATCCAGCTTTCCAGAACTTCCACCGTTGACAGTGTCCGGGACCTGTGTCTTCTCTACACATTGTTCCATCCTCTTCATTATTAAGTCCAGAAGGGTTTCCACAGACTTCTCTACATTCTGTCCTGTTGCTGCGCTTGTTTCAAAGTATGGTATGCTAACATGGAGAAACAAAAAAACAGATCTTTCAAACTGACCTGTAAAATTATATACATGAATCATAGATAACATGTTATTTTGAGGTAAATATGCATCATAGAGAGAATGACTCTAACTAATTAACAAATGTATCATTTCATAAGGTTATTATGTCTTATTACTATCCAAAGTTCCACATTCTTCAAGAATATTGTTACCATCAATAAATAGTCACCATATTGTGACATTGTGAACTTTACTATATTTTTGAATACTGCAGATTGTAATATTCTTATACAAAACATTTTAAAGCAGATTTGGGGTTTATTTTTAAAAAGATTTTATTTTTATTTATTGGTGTATACATATGCATGTATGTACATGTGTGTGTATGTGTGTGTGTGTGCATATGCCAGAAGAAGGTGTCAAAACCCCTGAAGCCAGAGTTACAGGTAGTTATAAGCCACCTGACATGGAGGCTGAAAACCAAACTGGTTCTCTGAGATAGTGCCAAGTGTTCTTCACGACTAAGCCATCTTTGCAGTCCGACAGATGACGTTAATTAAGGACCAGGAAGTCTGCTACAAGATTCTGTCTCCTAGAAATGACAGGGAAGCTATGTCCATGATACCTCAACAATATGGCTACCTAAATAAAAGCTGGGAAATGACAGCACCATTTGAAATGTCAGTGTGGACAGGAAATTGCAGGGGGGCCCCACCCATAGATGAAGAGTGATAGTTGATTAAGGACTGCTAAGAGAGGAAGAATTAGTCTTCCCCAGAGATGAGTACCCTAAATGGTTATCCAGTTCCAACAGAGCCCCACTGCCTCTAATATACACACAGACAACACTAAACAAACTCAGCGGGTTGTGTTTATATACAGGGAAATGATGGAATTACGTTTTAAAGTTTTATTCTTTAAGAACAAGGATTTTGGCATAAATTTAAGTTGAGCATGAGGGTTAACAGAAAGAGAGGTACCTAGGGAAAAGAGAACCACCCAGCCATTGTAGGGGACTTCTCAAGAGGAAGCAGTCTTACACAAGATTTTAATGAGAATTTTTTTTTTTTTAATGAGGATATCAGAGGAGATACTAGACATGCAAGTGAATACCATGCAATACACGGCTGGCAAAGAGATCTCAGTGTCAGTTTTTGTTGTCAAGTTAGAAACCTTGTTTGCTTGCTAGTTTGCTGGCTTGTTTTCACTAAATAAACCCTGGTGAGTTCTTTCATGCTGTGCGGGAGATTATTAGAGGAGGCAGTCAGCAAGCTGAAGCCAAGGGATCCTCACTGCTTTAACACAGTGAAGTAAACAAAACCAGGAGGAGAAATGCCTAAACCGGTGGTCGGCAGCACCAAGACCACTTCATGGTCTGTAACACTGCAACCAGTTTACTTCCCTCTGGCCAATCACCTAGAAATTGGTTTCAAAATGCCACATACATTAAATATAATACTGATAGGAATGTAAGCTGCTTTTGTTTGGAATTAACGGCATCAAGAAGATCAAAACTTCAACGATCCAAATGAGCTCTTTCTCCCCGATGATACAACTGCTTAAAGATTAATAGTCACTGACAGATTCATGCCATCTGTGAGTACGCGGGCTGCTTTTGTCTGAGTTCGTTTCCAGCTGCCAGCCAAGCCTACTTAGGAAGATGGCTGCATCAGATACTGTTCCTGTCTCACCTAAGGAACTGTTAAGTGAGAGGCAGTAAGCTCCATAGTTTACAATTATAAGTCTTGATCTAGATTCCTTGGACTAAATTTAAGCTGTGCTCCTTAGTAGCTACTTAGTCTTCTACCCAGTGCTTAATCATTCTATGACTCCCCTCTTATACAAAAGGTGGTGACTCCGGTATCACCTACACATGGCTATGAGGAACACAATGAGCCAACGTCTAGCAACAATTGCAGATGCATGATAAAGACTCAATACATGTTAGATGTTCTTATTAATTTGACTTCTGGAAGGTGTGTGTCTGTGTGTGTGTGTGTGTGTGTGTCTGTGTGTGTGTGTGTGTCTAGGCTTGCTCGCTTGTGAGTGCAGTCATTGATTTATCTAGACTGAGAGGCTAATGAACTTCATCTCTTCTCCCAGCACTGGGGTTGCAGCCCATTCCACCATAGCCAGCTATTATATGGGTGCTAGGGATTCAAACTGAGGTCCCCACTCTACCTAGTGAGCCATCTCCCCTGCCTGGGAAGTCTTTTTTAATTCCCTGCTCTTTCTGATCCAAGGGGATTCCTTCAGCTGTCTATATCATGACTCTGTTTCCCCCGTGTACGAGGTCAGACGGTTCCCAGTGAAACTGACTTACCCATATTTTTCAGCCAGCTCCCGGGCTTGCCGTTCGTTGACTTCCCTTTGGTCTGGTAGATCTGCCTTGTTGCCGATTAATACTATATCTGGGTTTTCACAGTAAGCATTTGCTTGTAGTTGGCCTTGGTTAAAAGAAAAAAAAAAAAAGCAAATGAAAGCAGTGATTTAGTCACGAGCAAATGATGTCGAAGTACTGCTCCTACTCCAGATTTCTAACCCAGCTGCTCCTCGCTGATCAGCTCAGTCATCTCTCCTCATCGTTTCTGTGTCTATAAAACGGAGCCGATGCCTCACAAGTTTCGGATAGTGATGCCGAATGGAACACAGGAAACACCTGAACCAATACCTAAACATGCTCACCTATACCTGGGAGCTTACCCCTCTGACCCAAGTGGCTTCCTGTCATTGGTTCCTCAGATGCAAATATCAGGCTGGATCTAAACCTTTCACTTGCAGATGCTAGCACATGTTTTTCATGTATGTTCATTTGCTCCATTAGATGGCGGCTCTGGTCCCCTCTCCTGACATCACAGTGATTATCTATGGAATGAACAGGTCTTGAAAAACAGAAAATTCATGCAAAAACAAATTTAAGATAAAATCTATTTTTTCTCTTTCTTGAGGCAAACACGTGTGTGTGTGTGTGTGTGTGTGTGTGTGTGTGTGAAAGAGAGAGAGAGAGAGACAGAGACAGAGAGAGACAGAGACAGAGAGAGACAGAGAGAGAATAGGAGATAGAGAAAACAAAGGAAAAATGAAAGCATGAAGTGGGAAGAAGAGAAGGAAAGGAGGAAGTGAGGGAAGGAAATGGTGGGAAAGAGAGACCACCTGTATCTTCCACCTCATTAAGGCCTGCTATATGTCATGTACCCAGGACAGGAAGAGGCACATAAAGATTTATTCTGCAGTATCAATGATCTGAGTGTTAGAAACTCAGAGGTTATTAGACATGCCAATTAATTATCTTAAATCCCAATAATATCTTCCGGGAGACTTGAGGGAGAGGACCATCTGCCTTGAAAAATGACAAATAAACCATTCTCTGAAAGAATCTAATAATCTTATTAATTCCTTGTCTCAACAGAATCTAATCATAGTACCAGAATTCGGATAAGGACATACAACATTCAAAAGAAATAAAGACAGATCCTAGGGTAAACAGTAATTTGGAGAGGCAATTAAGAAAGTCAGGCTTTGTTGATATTTTCCCTATTGGCTGCAACTGGTTACTGAATTCACATTCAAAACACATACAAAAACTTTACCTATTGCTATATTTAGTGCATCATTAATTTTACCTATCTGTATTTGCTGCATTATTAATTGTGTATAATGTGTTTGTAAGTAGAAATGTAGCAATATAGACAAAACTCAATGGCATTCTATTTTTCAGGTGTCATTTGTCTACTTGTTTCTTGAGATACCTTTGAGATTTTGTGAATCTATTGGCTGTCCAGGGAGCCCTGAAGAAACTCCCATCTCCACGTCTCTAGCGCTGGGAGTAGAACTGCATACTACCACTATTGCCACCTTTGCACATGTCTGGGGATTGAACAGAGGTCCTCATGCAAGGAAAGCAAGCATTTCACTGATTGAGTATCCTACTCATTCCCCTTCAACAACATTTTATTCAAGTAAAACCTTGTGAGAGCTGTGTGGTCCCTGCACCATGCCTTGTCAACATGGCCACCTATTCCTTGAAGCATTACGAGTTTGGCTTGCACTTTCACCCTTGAGCTTCTCTGGGTGCTAGTGTCGCCTCCCAGGAAACACTGTAAATGTTCTCTCTGTCTTGCCTCTTCGAATTTAACACCATGCATGCTATGTTTTACCTTGTAAAAATTCTCAAGACTTACTGGGAAAATATAATTAATGTCTGCTTCACTACAATACTGAAAACTTTAGGGCTGCCTCTAAGGAAAGTGTCCAAGGTAAACAGAATTCCAACCCATGTTGCTTATTGACACAACATCCCTCTGAAGGTGACACAGGGCATACTTTGCTCATCTTCTCAGAGTTAATTTGTGACTGCGCTCCCACAAGTCAGGCAAGCAAATAGAGTTGCAAAGTCCCAAACCAGCCATCCATGAGTATCACTAAGCCCACTTACTCATCCAGTTCCTGACATTCAGAAAGCTCTGTTGACTGGTGAGGTCAAACATTAGCAGGAAGCCCATGGCATCTCTGAAAAAGGCAGTGGTGAGACTCCGGAACCTGCCAACAAAGCACAGTGACTGGTTCTCAGATTACAAACTCATACTTGCAGGACCAATAACAGTTTCCCAGACATCCATGCTGTCTCCACGGCAACCTCTTTCCTTACTCTATGGACATGTGAGACTAGGCCAGAAGATGGCTTTAGGGCAGGGAGAGGGTATCTCCTTGCAGATTGTTTTTTTAAGACCCCTTTCAGGTTCTGTGGGGCCATGGCACTGTTAGAGAATTCTATTTGGTCACTAACTTGCCACTCTGGCCTCTTGGAATCTTTCTTTTTTGACTGATGGCCTCCTCTGGGTCACAATTAAAATCTTAGCCTATTTATAGTGGACTTTAACTTAGACTTTTCTGATGTGGGATATATATATATATATATATATATATATATATATATATATATGTTGCTTTTATTGGTTGATGAATAAAGCTGTTTTAGTCAGTGACTTAGCAGAGTAAAGCTAGGTTGGAAATCCATACAGAGTTTAGATAGATAGATAGATAGATAGATAGATAGATAGATAGATAGGAAAAGAATAGGTGGAGTTGAAAAGATAGCATGTACTCTCCAAAGGAGAAAGATGTCAGAATATTATCGGTAAACCACAACCTCAAGGAGATACATAGATTAGTATAAATGGGTTAATTTAAGATGGAAGAGATATCTAGGAATATGCCTGAGCCATTGGTCAAACAGTTTTATAATTAGTATAGTTTCTGTGTGATTATGTGGGACCAGGTGGGAAGGAAATTGCAATCTACAAATGGTGACCAAATGTTTGGCAAGAATTTACACATAAAGCCTGAGAAAGCTTAAATATAAGGATTCTAGACAGATAAGAACAGAGTCATGTGTAGTTTCTTGGTAACCATCTTATTACTCCAGTGGGCTCTGTTTGTTAGAGGCAAGCCAAGGCACAGCTCCTTTAAGAAAGGCTCTCTGGCTCAGCTTTAGCTGCAAAAAAACTTGCAGCTCTTTAAAGAGGCCTTGCCACCAAACACTTAAATGGTGTTAATGAGCAGTCAAAGGCATGCTTCTTGGTAGTGGTAATGACCTTGAAAATCCACAGAGTTGTGGCAATAGACATGGCTCCCATCAGTACCTCCACCATGAAGCTAGACGCTCAGAAAGCTAAGGAATGTGGTGAAGTCAACTGCCAAAGTCACAGTTTTAATCCTAGTCATGTTGCTTAGCAGATTTGACTCATGTGTTCAGAAAAAGATAGAGATATAAAGACAAATTCAGGCAAAAAAAAAAACCCAAATAAACAAACCTTTATATGGTTTATAGTGTGTTTAAAAATATAAGTAGGCTTGAGAGAGAAAAGAAAAAGAATAGGAAAAGTTCTTTAAAAAAGAATTAGGTGGTACACACTTTTAATCCCAACACTTGGGAGGCAGAGGCAGGCAGATCTCTGTGAGTTCCAGGACAACCTGGTCTACAGAGTGAGTTCCAGGACAGCCAACGATACACAGAGAAACCCTGTCTCAAAAAAATAAAAAATTTTAAAATAAAAGAAATAGAGAAAGAAAAATAAAAATTCACACAAAGATGGAAAATACACAGAAAGTATCAATACTGCATGTTATTGTGTTGTCTTTGAATTGTTTGACTGTTGAGGAAGGAGCAACAGTTGCTAAAAGACATTTTATTATAAATGCTGCTAGATTAGTCCAACTATATAGTTTGAAAATGCCTTGACTTCAAATTTTAAGTCAGAAGATATGTTACTTTGGAGAAGAGATTTTGCTTTTGTTTCCATAGGACTGAGAGGTTGTGGATTCTTTCTTGGTTAAAAAGAAATAAGGTTTGATCAAGGAAGACCCCCCCTGAAAAATCTCCAATGGGAATGAATAGCCCAGATGATCCAATATTTCAGAGCACCTCTATTTCAGTTTCTTCTGAGTTCTGCATTCAGAACCGTTTCAAGGCTGTTGGCTAAGATAATCCACTCCAGTCAGGATTTGACCACAATCTAAACTTTCTTTGCATCCACATAAGATTACCAGCACTCACAATCAACAGAAAATAGCCTAGAAAACTACACCCATATTCTGAAAGAATAGGTTATAGATGTTATGGACAATGGTCAGGAAAAAGTTAAAGAAAATTAGATTCAAGGTTTTGTTTGAAAAAGAAAAGAAGGAACACTGCTGTGGGATAATGCTTTTGTATACTGTAAAGATTTGTCAGTCGTATTGGTTTAATAAAATGCTGATTGGCCAGTACTCAGGCAGGAAGTCTAGGTGGGCCAACCACACCAAGAGAATTCTGAGAAGAGGAAAGACAGGGATGCAATCACCAGCCAGATGCAGAAGAAGAAAGATAAGAATGTCTTTCTGAGAAAAAGTTCCAAGTCACATGGCTAAACATAGTCAATAATTAAGTCTTAGTTAATAATAAGCCTGAGTTAATAGGCCAAACAGTTTGTAATTAATATAAGCCTCTGTGTTTTCCTTTGGGAATGAATAGCCAGCCACAGGACCAGGAGGGGCAGAAACTTTCATCTACAAATGGTGCCCAATGTGGGTCTCAAACCTACGACCCTGAGATTAAGAGTTTCATGCTCTCCTGACTGAGTTATAAAAATATAGAGTATTTTCTCTGGATTTGTCAGATGCAAATGGACTAGATATTACTGATGTATTTATTGCCTATATATTGTATATATTTTTTCTTATATTAGTTATAGCCTTCTTTTTTATTTTAGACAAAAGAGGAAATGCAGTAATATTTCATTTGTATTTTAATAAATAAAGCTTGTATGAAGATCAGAGAGTAAAACAGCCCCTTATAGACCAGGCAGTGGTGACATACACCTTTGATCCCAGTAGACACACTAGTTTGCCATAGAAACTAGGCAGTAGTCCTCATTGTCCGCTATATTCAGCGAGTCGGGTTCAAGAACAATGGCAATGGGTTTCTGATCCTACTGCACGTACTGGCTTTGTAGGAGCCTAGGCAGTTTGGATGCTCATCTTACTAGAACTGGATGGAGGTGGGGGTTCCTTGGACTTTCCACAGGGCAGGGAACCCTGATTGCTCTTCGGGCTGAGTAGGGAGGGGGACTTGATTGGGGGAGGGTGAGGGAAATGGGAGGCGGTGGCGGGGAAGAGACAGAAATCTTTAATAAATAAATAAATAAATAAAGAAAGAAAGAAAGAAAGAAAGAAAGAAAGAAACTAGGCAGTAGTGGTGTATGCCTATAATCCCAAACCTAGAGAGGAATATAGGATGCAATGATACAGCTCTCAGACAGTCACCATTTCAGACTGAGGTAGAGTTAAGAGCCAGTGGCTTCCTGTTTTGTTTTTCTGACCTTCAGGTTGAACCCCAATATGTTTCTTTGGGTTTTTACTAATCGTGCTAGATTTTTCCAGTTTTCTTGCCTGTGCACAAAGGAAAAGCAGGCACATCATTAGGCTGAGAATGAGAACTTCTGTGAGCAAGCAAAGGAAGCCACAGCTCAGAAATAGAAGGGTTGATGTACTCTTTTTACCACACCCTTTGGGGTGAGACTCTCCCACAGGTGAGTGCATGAATCATGAGGAAGAAGAAGATTATTGGGGGACTAAAAGAAGGACAAAGGAGAAACTCAGGAAGTGGGAAGAGAAAATGAGAATATTCATTTCCGGTGGAGGCGGTAAAGCAACTATTATACAAAGGCTAAAATGTACTCCCTGACTCCTCCCTTGTGTCTGCCCTGACTTCTTCAGTTAAATTCAAGGCAGGTTGAGACCCACAATGACATCAGCACTAGGCAGAACTGGAGAAGGCATACATACACATAGCTTTGAAAAAGAGAAGAGAGAAGTATGACATTTGCTCTTCTCAGTGGCTTCCTAAATTTTTTGGTCTCTCATTTTAGTCTCCTTCCTAAATATTTCATGTTGGTTTTCTCAGCGTTCTATTCTGAACCCTTCCCATTTTATGCACAGACACTGTCATGTAGTCCCTTGGCTTAGCTGCAGCCTCTATGCTGAGCAACCCAAGACATATAGATAGCTTTTTGCTGTCATTTGAATTCGTGCTTTAGAGATTTTTCCACATGGACAAAACTCAGGGATTTCTGGAATCGCACATCCCAAGCTCAACTGCTCTCCTTCTGCCTTCTGTTTCTGGCCAGGGCATTCTCATCATGTTGGGGCACAGTCCCTTCCCTCTTTCCTTCCTCACTGTCTATGCATCACCGTAGACACAACCTTCTCCACTGATGCATCTCCTTATACTATCTCTTACTACCCAACATCGTTCATGCTCAATTACGGTCTTAGTAAGTTTCCCATGTCCATTTTTGAGGAGCACTCATTTCTTCCTGTTGATTTTGTGATTCTTGCACTAACCATATTTTCATGGTTACACATGACTCTTAGGATAACACCAGCACTTGGGAGGCTGAGGCGGGAGGATCTCAGTGAGTTCAAGGCCAGCCTGGTCTACAAAGTAAGAGCCAGGACTGCCAAGACAGTTACACAGAGAAAATGCGTTTCAACACACACACACACACACACACACACACACACACACACACACAAAGGATAATACCAAAACACTCCACTAAAGCCGTCAAGGCTTTGCAGGATCATCACCACCATCACTAGGCTTCATCTCTCGCCTACTACCCACAGGCAAGCTAATCTTCTTTTAGTTCTGAAAAAGTTCACTGTCCCCCCCTGGGCTCTTTCACAAGCTGGTTATTCTGTGGGTTGCCACCGTTAGTCTTTCCTCTTCCTCTGCCTGTCCTTTAGCTTGGATTACCTTCCCTCATGCATTGTGTATGAGTGTAAACAAACACACCAGTGGAAACCCCCCCCCCCCTCCCGGAGCCTTCTGGGAACAGCCTCTTCCTGCAGGGCTCAGCTCACTTACCACCTTCTGTCTTCTGACAGTTGTCCTGGGGCCATGCTGCTGAGATTGATTGTTTGTCCAATGCCTACACTAATGTGTAAGCTCCAAGGGAAAAAGTGCTGGGTTTCCAGTTCAGAATACAGCCTGTTTTCAGTGCCCAGAACATGCTATTCACTTACAAAGTGCATGTCGATATTAAGAAAATAAGAAAGAGATAGCGTGCAGTAAAAGATTCACTATTCTTGCAGATTCGAAATAAAAGAGAACAATTCTTTGAAGCTTGGGGGAGGGGATAAATTAACCATTTCTTTTGCATGGCATTTCTATAACACAGCGGTGTAGATTACAAAACCCAAAACCATTACTTGCTTTTTTTCCATCGAGTTCTGTCTCTGCCTTTGCCTGGGAGTTCTTAGAGATCACAGACATTTTGTAGCCGTTCTCTCTGCTGAAAAGCTGTGCCCATAAAACTATTTCTTATCATTGTGCTGATGTGGCTGAGAAAAGTGATCACTTGTGTGTGTGTGTGTGTGTGTGTGTGTGTGTGTGTGTACATGTGTCCCTGTATGTCTGGGGGACAAGCCTGTGTGTTGTTTTCCTCATTGCCCACAGCAAATAATGAAGTAGTTAACAGGCATGCTTTGTGTGGTCATCAGACTGAAGCAAATTCCTCTTCTCTGAGTGGCAGCACAGAAAGGACACTGTTGTTGTGGAGCAGGCTGACATTCATCTCATCCTCTGCTATCCTTTCTTCTACTCCCTGGAAGAAACACACCTGGCATCCAGTTACACAGACTCCTTCCCCTCCCCATCTCATCCTAGTAGGTGACTCGGGTGGGCAAAGCTAAGATCACACAAAAAGCAACAGATCCCAGAATCAGGCACCTTGTTGTTCTTTAACCCTTGAGGGGGCACAAGGGTTGGACCCTCTATGTGCACAATGGGTTATGTATTTTCCTGCTTTCCCACCAGCGACTTTTATCAATTACCATTACCCTTACCTGAATTATACTGCCAGAAGCCCCAAGGCATTATCTTGTTGCTTAGCTACACCTTCTATCCACAGCATGCAAAAGTCTCCAGGGATGAATAAGCCAAGAGTTACTAAGGCAGTTCATCCCATTCCTTCCCAGCACAGCTGGATTAAGGGGACAGATGAGAGACGCCGGCCATCATGTGGGCCTGACATGTCGTGTGCATGGACATATGGGGATCCGCATTTTTTTTCTCATATTGCTTCCTCCAAGACGAATTGCACTGCTCTATAAAACATACATCTTTTTGACAACAAAACTGACACGTGAAAGGAGACTCTCACGAGGAGCGCCTTCAGAAGAACCAGCAGTGTTGAAGGGTGTGTGTAAATGGAATTCACAGTCAAAAAAGCTAACCGAGAGGGCCCGGCACCTCTCCTGGCGTTTACACTCACTGAAAGCGAGAACATTTTGGAAGCATTTCAAAAATATGGGTGTTTACCATGCATCAGCATTGTAAGATATATGATGGGGAATCGGGGGCAGGATGTCTTCCACATATCTCTGCTGTCACTCCCTTGCCACTTTTTTATTCAATCTGATAGTAGAGGATTTTTTATTAGATTTGGGTCTTTAACACTTGGAAATTGGGTCCCGAAGAGACATGTTTTCATTGAATAATGGAATGCCACTGTGAGCTCCGAGCGACCAAGGCTTCTCTATACTGTTTGTTATCGTGCCTTTGACAGCGGAGAGGATGCTGCGAGACGAGGAAGCTCACAGCTTGGCTGGGATAAGATGGCCACAAGTGATTCAATAGAGAGCAGTTTAAGAATACTAGAAAATGTATCTCGCTGAACGGTGGCGTAGCTTTCGTTTGGTAGCGTGCGTATAGGAGCCCCTGGAGTTCAAAAGAAACTGGGGGTTGGTTGGTTTCCCTGGGAAGGCAGAATTGGACGAAGGCTGGTGAAAGGAGAGCGTTGGGAGGGTGGGAAAGAAGTTAAAGGTTCTAGGACTGAAGCCATAGCTCAGTGGTTGGTGTGCTCCAAGCCCAAGCAGATCGTTCTGGATCCCCTGAACCCTCTCAAAACCAGACACAGCAGTGTGCCTCTGTCATCTGGGTGCTGCTGCCATGAGATGGGAAGTAGGAACAGGAGGATCCCAAGAAGCTCATGGGCTAGCTGGCCTGGCATGAGACCCAACCTCAAGCGTGGTACAAGACCTACACTCTGATACCCATGACTGTTCTCTGACCTTCACCTGCATGTCATGGCCCATGCATGCCACGGTCACATACATACATATGCACACATTATATATAATATAGCTGAAAATGCATGCATATCATACACAGCATGCAGAGAGCTCAACTAAAAAAAAAGATTCTAGCTATCAAGAAATGGTGCCAGCCAACTTTGAGTGAGAAAAGGCAGTTACCAAGCGTGTAACAAAGAATCTGGGAGAGGGGGAGAACACAAAGACAGGGAGGATGACATACCTTTCCTTCAACTCGGTGATCAGCTCTTGCAGCAGTGCTAATTTCCCATCTTTACTGGGGTAAATCTGGAGAGATTTCTCCCCACTAGGAAGTATGAAGGCAGATTTGCCCACTTCTTCTTCTTTTTTTGTTTTTTTATTTTCGAGACAGGGTTTCTCCGTAGCTTTTTTTTGGTTCCTGTCCTGGAACTAGCTCTTGTAGACCAGGCTGGCCTCGAACTCACAGAGATCCGCCTGCCTCTGCCTTCCGAATGCTGGGATTAAAGGTGTGCGCCACCACCGCCCAGATTTGCCCACTTCTGATTGAGTGTTCATATCTGCACTAGCTCTACAGTTGCTAGCGTACAGCATGAACTAGAAATCATGGACTTTCATCCTTTTTACAAATCTCCTTTGGTTGTTTTGTTTTGTTTGTTTGGGTTGAGACAAAGTTGTTCTCATTTTGTAACCCTGACTGGCTGCAAACTTGCCACAATCCTCCTGTCTCAGACTCCTGGGTACTAGGATATAGGCATGAACCACACACTGGGCATAGCTATCTATTTTAAAATTGGTAGAAAAGCTGGATACCATTTATTTTTGAGGTTCATATACATCATTCACTTTTCAATGCTTTCTAAGTTATTGGGAGCTAGAAATAAAGGAATTCCCATTACCGCTCTTGTCCAGCAGTGTCCCAAAGCTGCAGGTGCACCTTAAACGCTTTCCCTGAAGATCCATCTGCTCCCTGTGTGTTGTAAACCTGAAAAACACAATCCTCCCACGTTAATATTGCTTTGGAATTTGTCAACACTGTAGTTCTCTGGGTTCGCTCAGAATGTTTTCGTTGATTACTATAATCAAAGTTCATAGTGCAGAATAAACACTTGCTTTATTTTCCCCCAAGTATCACATAGATCTCACTTTCAAATGTCAAGTACAGTATGATTTTCAACACAGCGTAAGCATACTGCAAACTTAAATTAGACACCTTCTGTCATTCCCTCATGGAGGCAGCAGACATCAGATTAGGACAAAAGCCGTAGGTTCAAACAACCAACTTTTCCTTTAAACGTCTGAGTCTAAATTTTTTATATTGACAAATTGAGACCATAATCCTTTTCTATTTTACAGTTGTAATATACAAATGAAATTACAAATGGAAAAATCATTTTAATCAAAATTTGTTTGCCAAGTCCCTGCCTCTCTTTTAGCATAGAACTGCCTTTCAAAATGTCTTAAGTAGTAAGTGTACACAGAGTTTCTCAGTGGGGTCAGTTGGGACACTTGAGCCTCAGCCTTTCAGCCTCTTCCTTGGAGGGCCTTTGCAGAAAATGTTCATGATTTAGAGAAAGTGTTCTACAGGTACAGTTTTTTACAAGATTTCTACCTAGGTCGGTAGGCATTGCTGAGGGAAGAAGTCAGAGGAATCCTGCCCAGAGTCTATTGGCGTTCAGTTGAGGGAGAGGACGCGATTCAACTTTTCAGGCAGTGGCTCTCCACCAAGCATTTCCCGTGGGGATTTGTGACATCAACTGGAAGGCACAGTGATCTTGGCAGTCAGGACTACCATGGGTGGCAGGAAATCTGGCTAAGCTTCTGTGCCTATGCTGCATGCCTCCCGTGTCACAATATCCTCCTTCCTGTCATTAGTGTCTAGCATGGGAGACGGAAGTGCTGTTGTGATTCTCACTTACGCTCCCTTCTCATGGAAAATAGCATGGATGGGTCTCACATTCTGTTCCCAACGAGCCAGTGATTGATGGCTGAGGCTACACATAAATAAAAATGCAGCAAGAACCTACAAATCTCATGTTCCAGCTATTTGCCAATCATACGTTTTAACCTCTTTGTTAGGAGTAAGGGAATGAATCCTTCAACTTTCTAAGAAATTTACTTCAGCCCAATGAATTAATATTTCTGGTACTTTAATATATCAAAATGTGAAAGCGTCCTTAGGAACTCATAGAAAACACATCATCCACAAATTCAACAACACATTTATTTTAGTTGCCTTGTGTGCTTTTGAAGACAGATAGTGTCACTCAATATTTTCCTATCAAAATGTTACTGGTAGTTGAAAATGTCATAAATAATATTCTGCAGTTATGAGTTTCATGTGATTAAAAAAACAGACACTTTGAAGTGCAATGAACACAATTTCATCAATTCTTATTTGACACAAGAGAATGGGTAGTAAGGTTAAGAGTATGGTTAAAAACTTACCACACGTTTTTCCCGAAAATCTATTCCCACCGTAGTGATGAATTTGGGATTGAATTTATTGTCTGTGTATCTGTAAAGAAACGTGGTCTTCCCTACTCCTGAGTCTCCAAGGGCCAGGAGTTTAATCAGATAATCATAATCTCCATCAGTCATAGTGATGGTCTTGGCAGGCCTGCACAGGAGAAGAGCAAATACGATACAGCAATAGTTAATTTTCTTGTCTGCTATCAGAATACAATGTACACCTAATTAATTACATTAACACCAAATGCCTCTATTGTGCCTAAATCCTGAAATAACTTGGTCAAAGCAGCTTCAGGTGTGAGGGCACGCCTCCCATTTGTCACTTCACATCAGGCAGTTGCAAAATAGACATTGGCACCACAGTAATAGAAGTTTAAAAGGCAAGGACGTTTGTTTCCAAAACCAAGACTCCGGAGGATTAGAGGTGCGGCGCTACAGAAAAGAGGGAGACGCAAGAACAGAAACTCCGCTGGGAAATGAAGCAGTGCAGGTAGAAAGCGAGTGCCGCTCTACACAGAATGAAGAAGCTGGAGTGGCTTGCATCTAAGAATAAAGGAGACGCTGTCTATTTTATCCATACACAATATTCATTTTTGATCTTAAGAATTGAACAACTAGGCCGGGCGATGGTGGCGCACGCCTTTAATCCCAGCACTTGGGAGGCAGAGGCAGGCGGATCTCTGTGAGTTCGAGACCAGCCTGGTCTACAGAGCTAGTTCCAGGACAGGCTCCAAAGCCACAGAGAAACCCTGTCTCGAAAAACCAAAAAAAAAAAAAAAAAAAAAAAAAAGAATTGAACAACTAGCATGATGCCCCTGAAGACACTGATGTGAAATCCGCCCCAAACAAGGAAGCCTCGGTTCTCTGAGAGTCTGCATAGAGTTGTACAGCGCCAGTTTCCAGACCTCAAGAAGAAGACGGGGTTTCAGCGATTCCCATGCTATGCCTCCTGCCTGGGTGAGCGATATCACCCATCCTTTATTCCAGAACACAGACCCCTGAAGCTGTGATGACTGTGGCTTGATCCAGCCCTAAGCTAAATGCAAATGCATCTGCAGGGCTTATTCCAAGGTGAGGGCACATTCATCTGAAAGACACTATCCTCTATTGTTGTGAAGTTCCCACAATGATTTGAGATTTGCTACAAACTTCTGACTCATAGGCCACAGGAATGTTTGTTCTATCCTACAACAAAGAGGGAGGCCTCAAAAGACGTTGCTAACATGGAAAATGTTGTTCTATTATGTGAGAAGATTTTCCTATTTATGAAGACCCAGGAGCCATTGTAGTCTTTAAGACGGCTTATAATTAAACTTACATTTCAAAAACAGCCTATTAAGCCAGGCAGTGGTGGCGCAGCCAGCGGTGGTGGCACACGCCTTTAATCCCAGCACTTGGGAGGCAGAGACAGGAGGATCTCTGTGAGTTCAAGGCCAGCCTGGTCTACAAGAGCTAGTTCCAGGACAGGCACCAAAAACTTCAGAGAAACCCTATCTCGAAAATCCAAAAAACAAAACAACAACAACAAAACAAACAAACAAACAAAAAAAAACCCAAAAAACAGCCTATTAGATGAGCTAAAATATTCTCATAATTTCCGAAAATCTAAAAATGGCCTGGTGATATAGGCCTACAATCCCAGTTGTTTGGGAGGCTTGAGGCAGGAGGATCGTGGCTTTATTTTCTCCTGGGGAACTTCACCTGATCACGTTACAAAATAAGGAAGGGGACAGAGGCATAGCTCAGTGCATGTCACACATATGCATGCATGTGTGAGAAGCTGGGTTCCATCCACAACACCATTTAGCAACCGAATAGAAGAGGATGCACACAGTTTATGTGTCTATAATCGTAATTCAAAATGCTTTTATTTTGCCATTTTAAGTAGTGGTGCAAGATAAAAAACTTTATGTCCTTGGGTAAAACAGCTGATGAAGATAATGAGCTACTTATCGAATAATTAACCATTATTAAACTGCTTTGGAAAGTTGCATCTTTTTAAATATAACTAATTCCTTAATTTGAACTATGTTGTTTGTGCTAAATAGGGCTAAATTGATTATGGGCATGTGCTTCTTTCACTAAGGAATCCTTTTTGAGATGGGATAATTCATATTGTTGTCCTCAAACATTCCTCCCTAGTAATTTGCCTTCATCCTGAGTAGAAGTTGCCGAGTCTTCTGACCGTAAAGGCTTCGCTTTCTTTTTAAACTATCTAGACAAAATCTGATCACGGCTTAGGAAGCAAGTGCACCCATCAGCAGCTCGCCATCCTCAATGAAAGGGCACAGATAACCACAGACACCAGGTTTCCCTTGGAGATACCTTCTGTAAGTGACTGCCTATGCCTATCAATGCATCAACTTGATGGCTCTAAATCAGAGCTTTATGGTTGAGCCTGCTGCTCTTCTTAGTCTGTGAGTCACGCTGGTGCCAGGCAGAATGGTGCTCCCTACTGGAGGCCCCCAATACCATCTCTCTATCTTCTCTGTAAATATCATTTTACTACTAGCCTCTTCATTTTTTTTTTTTTTTTTTGGAAAAAGAAAGACTTAAATTTATTCTAAGATAAAGTTGAGGACTGCCACAGTCTTCCCTAGGTCTAAGCCATAGAAGGACAAAACTGGAGTTACTGACTGCCTGAATAGAAAGTAAAGTTGGAAGGTACCTTGGTTCCCTGAAAAAAAAAAATGAAAAGGGTGGGGTTAAAGGGGTCTGTCAGCATGATCTAAATTTTTATTCAAGTTTCCTATATTATTTCCCCTTATTGCTGATAGTCACAAGAGAGACTAAATCTCAACAAATACATTGAAATCCATCAGCATATGAGTGTTGAGCACAAAGATGAATCTCAAAAAGATATACTTCACAGTCTAGCTTTTGGCAAAGCTTGGACTTTTATTTAAAAAGTGCATTTAAAAGGCGAGAATTAATGCAAGGGGAGCTGGGAATGCAGCGCAATTGGTCAGAGGCTTGCATGATAGGAATCGGTTCATTCTCAAGCCCTGCATAACATTGGCTGTAATTGTACATGCTTGTAATACCAGCACTGGGAAGGTAGGGCCGGAAAGATCAGAAGTTCAAGACCATTTTGGGCAGTGTAGTAAGTTTGAGGCTGGCCTGGGATATAAAGGACCCTGTCTCAAAAAAAAAAAATGAATTTAAAATAAAACCACAAGAACCAAACAAGAAAATTACAACATAGAGTTCCAGATTAAAACACAATTCTTAAATGCTTGGAATCAGCATTGTACTTGTAATTCAAACCAGTAGCCTTCGTGAGCTATGGAATTCAGCGGGTCTTAGAGAAAGACTAACTACCAAGCAGTCTTACAGCACAGCAAGGACCCAGACTGGGTGAGAACCAGAAAACCCCTGCATGGGAGTTTACTTCCCATTTTTACTACGAAGCTCTTAACCACTTGCCAACTACATGACACAGCATGTGTTCCTGACTGGTAGCCAGGGTATCTTCTCTTCATTGTATACATCCAGCCTCGGGCAATACCAGGGCTGCCTCCAATCAAGATCTAATCTCGACTGAGCAGTACTGGCTACCAGGGAATAGTTTTGCTCTGGACCCCATCGCCTCTGCTCTCTATAAATAAAGAGTGCTGAATACACTGTGGCATTTGACACAAACACCATACACAATAATAACTAAAAGCCTGGCACTGTGACAGCTTTACTGCATGCTCCCGATGTGCTCTTTCATCTATTAAATTAAGAATTAGAAGGCTTATTTTAAAGTTTCTCTTAAAAATATTAATATTCTGTCCCTCTCATTTAAATTTATTTGTACATTTTTTTTATCTGTACCCCGAAGATGTGTTTGATTCACATCTCTTTTTATTACCACATTATTTTCTGCGTCCTAAAATGACTGATGTAGATGATCTTTCCCTGTCAGTTAAACACAGCAGACCAAAGAAAAGAAAAGCCTTGGTAAGATCGCCTTTTCCAATAAATGGGATAGAAATTTATCTGGAAAGGATCAAAAAGCTGACATGTTTTAACAACATTGTTTATTTTCCTGTACTAAGATTGGAAATCCTGTCATTTCTTGGTTGTACTGGTCTGAAAAGGACAAAAAGCCAGAAGACTGTAATGTTTTCCAGATCATGTCTGCTTCTTGGTGTTTATCACAGTGTCCCAGCTATGCCATAGAGCCAGGAGATACAGATACAGAGAGATACAGAAGATGGGGTGCTGTGCTCAGAGCCCTTCATGGGACAGCAAGGGGCAGGAAGCGGAGGCAAAGATCTAAATACGTCACTCTCCCGGCTTCTGCAGAGTCTGAAAGTCAGCAATAAATGCAATAAATGCATATAATCGCCGGGACCTCAGTGTTCAGATGGGAAGTCACACCAGAGAGCACGCTGGACTTGCAGGACACACCACTGATCGTCAAATGAGTCAAACACCCACAAGACTTTCCCTCATTTGTTACAATTAGAAACAGAATAAGATAGTCTCCACCCCAAGTCAATAAAACATCGTTCCTACAGACAGACCACTAAAAAAAAAAAAAAAATAGAAATACAGAGTTGTGGAGCCAAATCCCATTGGATACATCTCCAAAACACTCCTGTCCCCAAGGTTCAGAGAATGTGCTCTAGATGAATAAATAAATGTTCCCCGAAGGAGCCCTTTTCCCCAACCCCCACCTTATTTTAAGTCTACTTGCTAGGTTCTGTGTGAACACAAATCATATCTTTAAAACATGCAGGACTTTGGAGCTTTGTCTTCCAAGGATCTCAAAATAGATCTTTTAAGATTAAATGTTCAATCTGGGGAAGACATGGCAGTGTTCAGGCAGAGATGGTGCAGGAGAGGCATCTGAGAGAGTCTACATCAGTTGAGACACTTGGCCTGGCTTGAGGATCTGAAACCTCAAAGCCCACCCCTAGGAACACAGTTTCTCCAACAAGACCATAGTTACTGCAACAAGGCCACACCTCCTAATAGTGCCTCTCCTCAGGAGAGTGTACATAAAATGTATGTCCATGATGGAAGATTATTTGGTCAGAAAACGAAATGAGGTGTGTATACATGCCATTATCACACAGAAAACTTGAAAGTATTTGCTGAAAGAAGCGAGAAGCAAAAGGACACATAGCTTACAATTCTGTTTATATAAAAGACTCT